CATTTTAAAAGTTGGAAAATGGATATTTAATGACATTTAGTGGTGGAATAGAGTATAGCACCACAGTTGGAGGGAATTTGGCAGAATGCTCAAACTTAGATAACTATTGAGGTTCTTTGATGTTTGGTGACTCTTAGTTCAACAGAGAGCAGCTGGCACTGGAGAAAAACACTTTGGTCTACTTTCTATAGGGTGGGAGCTATAATTGTTCTGAAACCTGCTGACCTTCTTGGATTACAAATATTGATTGAAGTCTGACTTTTAATTTTAAGAACTATTTGGAGTGAAAGGAAAATTTGATCTTTGGCTACTTTTGTCTGGGAGAGACTTACGGACTGTTTTTAAGGGTGGTTGAACTTTTTGGATTACAAACATCGGTTGACTGATATTTTTGGAACTCTTGAACAGAAGAACTATTACAAAATATTGCCTTTAGTGGTGGACCTATATTTTGGGACCTATTGGATTATAAAAGCCACACGTGAAGACTATAAGAACCTTATGAGATACTGTTGTATTGCTGTCTTGATTTTAAGATTGGTTGTGTCAGTTAAGGCTAATACTTGAGGAATACAATAGCATATCTGGAAGGGGGTAATAAAATGGGTATTAGCTAAAAGTGGGGGGAAACCATCCCCAATATCTTCCCCTGAATCCCTCAACCCAGCATATCAGGGAACTATAGGAGTGACATTCCAACAAGAAAAAGCCAATATTTTCCAGAAGCAAATGCGGTCTATGCTGCAATCAATTCAAGAGGCAATTATTTCACACAAAGAAGACTCAAGAAGAAACTATGATGAGATTAAAAAGAAGTTTGACAATATAAATGAGAAAGTCTTTAACTTAAATCTACAACTAGTAGACCCTCAGCAAATGACTATAAAGAATGAACAAGCAAGTCAGAAAACAAAAGACAAATCAGAAGAAATTGACTCAAAGACGGAGGATACAAAGGAATGAAATTATAGACTCGCACATGCAAATAAAAATCTGGAAGACTTAACCATAATACTGGAAATGTAAAAGATATTCTATTTCTTAAAACCTCAAAATATACCTGAGGGTAAGGAAGAAGATTTTATTGAATGGACTATAGAACTGTGAGGTGAAATGTTAGAAATTAAAAAACAAGAAATGAAAAGAGAAACTGAAGGAGAAGGAAAGTGGGAGTTGTTTAATGAATATAAATGGGTTGAACCCTCCCTCAAAAATATTCTACCCAAATTGTTTTTCCTATTTCAGACAATATCTATAAAAACAGCGAAAAAATCCTTTGGTGACTTAAATACATTGTCTTGGAAAGTTATTTGGCAAAGGGAAGAAAGCCAGAGTTAGACTGAAGAAAATAGAAGATCTGACTTACCAGATGGGACACCATATGAATAAACCTGTGTTCAAATATGGCTAAAAGAACAGATAACCTCTTGATACCAAAATATTTTTTTTATTAAAAGTTTTTAAAAAATTATTACAATATAAACCCCCCCACCCCTCTCCCCTTCCCCCCTCCCCCACTTCCCAGAGCTGATTACAGGGTAACAAATAAACAAAGATAATCTAACTAACATAAACCAACTATACTATCAATCAAAACCATAGCACACTTTAACTCCTTCTCAAAAATTGTTTTCTCTATATCTCTCAACATTTCTTCAGGATCACATCCCAAAATAGAGGCTAATTTTGCTGCAATTCCTTCTTTCAAATTCTCTTGTACATTCTCCTTCAACCCTCTTATTCTCAAAGCAAACTTCATATCTCTGTATTGTGACATTATAATTTCATTCTGTACTGAATCCACATTATTTTCAACTCTTTCAACTCTTCCTTCTAATCTTTCAACATTTCCAATCATCTCATCCACCCTATCATCCAGGCGTTCTACGTGGGCCGCAAGCCCCTGAAGAGCCAGCACAATATCTTCCCTCATCTGATGATTTTTCTGCTCCGAAAGCTCTGCTGTCTCAGCAATCTTTTGCACACTTTTCTCCATAGCATCCTGTATAACATTCTGTACAACATTCTGTATATCTTTAAGTGAAAGTACTTGAGATGGGGGAGAGGGTGGAGGAGACTTAGGCTTAGGTTGCTGTATAGTCTGTGTTACTGGAGAGGAAATTGAAGCTTTAGGAAGAGAAGAAATTCCATGATGTTTTGAAGCCATTTTTAAAAAAAAGAGATGAGAAAAAGAAAAAAGGAAAAAATCACTTCTTATAACAAAATAAAATAAAGGGGTAATAAAAATAACTCCCCCTTACTCAAAAAAGGGAAAAAACTCTTTAAGTAAGCAAAGTCTGTTACATTATTGAAACTTTGTTGCCAAGTAAAAGTGAAAGTCCTCAAACAAAGAAACAGGATCCCTCCGCCATTTTTCCTTTCACTCCAATCGTTAAAATAATAGCTGGAGAAGACAATATTTTTTCTTGAGTTAAAGTTAAAATTCAACACAGTTCTGATCCTCCTGAACAGCTCCGTCTGCTTTAAATTTTACTTACAGTTCTTTCTTATATAGCAGATGTGGAAGCAGCGTCTAGCTTCGTTCCCCGCAGGAGAACAAAGGCGTCTTGAGATGCGGAGTTATTCCGGACTCCGAAGGAGCTCTCACCCTTTGTCTCCTAGAAAATAATCTCTGGGAGGCTAGAGGAGCTCGACCTCTATACAGGAAAAAACTCATCTTCTTCCCTTTGCCCGGGAAGAAAGTTCCGAGCCGCAAAACAGCTGATGGTCACTGTCTTGCCGACTCTTACACAATCCCGAGACGGGCGGCTAAAAGAAAGCTGCCATCGGCGTGGCAAACGCCACCGGAAGTTGATACCAAAAGATTTTTATAATTAGAAATATATGATTTATCTAATAGCACACTTCTTTATGATAGGGGAAATATGAAAATACTAGGATGGTTTGTATAAGCGGAGCCTTTGGTCACCCAAATGTAACTAACATTGAGAAAATTATAACTGATAAAGATACTTTGAACACTGAGGGGAAATTAAAGCTAAATAAGAGCTGGAAAAACAGAATATTGACTTAAGAAGGGGACTTTAATTGCAAATACAACTAAGACATGAGTGGGTTAGAAGAGATGTTACAAACTGATACTATTATTATTATTTATAATGCCAGAAAATTATTACAAGGATATGTATACTTAACTTTGCATGTATTAATAGTAAGATTTGTATTTGCTTAGTGTTGGGAAAATAAGAATACCATTGGAAGAAGAGAGGATCAAAAAAACACTGTGTAGCATTGAGGAAGTTAATATGTATTACTGGGTAACAAATAGACCCAGACAACATGTTGTTTACTAAGCACGTATGACTTGTAATAACAGAAAATTAATAAAATTGTTGTTTTTTAAAAAAAGAAATGGAGCTCTGGAGAAGGAAACCCCCACAGATGAGCCTTTGATACCTGCATTGTCTATACAGGAGGACTATTGACATCCTTGCTTCATCATGCATGGATTAACTTTGAGCTACTCTATAAAGATTCTTTGTCATTTAAATAGTTATTAGGACTTGGAGAGAATACTATACACAGAAATATTTGGCTCAATCACTCAACAAAGATTTATTTCCTATATCCTAATTCCAACCATTCAACCAAAAGCTTTCTTTTATGTGTTTATAAAGGGAAATCTCTGCTTATATCTACTTAACAATATCCTTAAAAGAATGAAAATAGAAACTAATATCTACTCACTGGCCTCATTCCTAGCCTCAAGAAGGACATCTCCATTTGCTCAGGAGGCAGAAGACCAGATTCAAATAATAAGTGCCCTTATGTAGTCTTCTTGATGTTAAAGAATTGTAAAAGTGCATGTTAAACCAGAACAGTCTCATCAAAGCATATGGAAATTATTTAGCAGTTAAGTAACTTCAGGAGTGGTGTCATTTTCCCCCTTTGACTGCAGAAATTTCAGCACCATCTTCAATTTCAAGGAAATATTTTAGTTTGATTTAAGATAGAGACCAATAACAATCTCATCTTTTGTAATTTCCTTGTGTTAGATGTTTCTAACACTTTTGTTTATAGATTCATCAGTTTAGTAAACAAGAAATCTGAATTATCTATTTTTCTGTCCGTTTTGTTTTGGATTTAATATTGATCTGGTATTGCTTTTTTATTTTTAGCAGATGTAAGATTGAAAAAAAAATAATGAAAGAAGCAAGGTGCAGTGGGGAGTGTCTTGAAAAGCAAGCATAGTTTCTCATGGCTTATTATTGTTTCTTTTTCTTTTTGTCGCATTGTCGCTTTTTAAAGACTTCTTAAACTACAAAATCTACATCTTATTTATTTAGCGTATGGCATTTACAGAGGTCATGCAATCACTGATATAAAAATTTAGTTTAAATGAAGTGTCAGCAAATATATGTATATGCACACAAGCACACACACATTTTCTCAACCTGGAAATAAATACTCCGGGCTGGATGCTCTATATTCACTGGTTTGAATTTCATGCTAAACTGTAGTTAGTGATACCAACCAAGATTCTGTTCACTCTTCTTCATTCACTCCAACCAGCTATAAGGATTTCAAAGGATTCAAAATGTGCTTATATTTTGTATGAATTACCATTTATCAACTGTGAGTCAAAATTATGACTAAAGAAACAAACCTCAAAACATGGCTAAGATTAACCACATTGTAGGTTCTGAGTTTAATACTACAGTGTTGTTATTCTAAATAGGAAAGCAGAGAAAGTTGCCAACTCCTTTGCAAGCTTGCTAGAAATCGTGTGAAGGGGACCATAAATTTAAGATTCACTGTTGCTTATTCCTATCATGCTGAATAATGGTGTCTGAAAGAAAGCACCTGTTGAATTTTATTAACAGAGGTAAAGTTCATGCCAAAGGATTTTAATAACTCTGGTTTTTTTTAAAAAAAAAACCACTTTTTTTTTTAATTTAGGTTCTACATATGTAGAATCATATCTATACAATATATTATGTTTTCCATTGACGCATCCTTTTCTTTTTCTTTTGAAACAGGTACCCAACATCAGGATAAAACTAAGGAGGCTTTGTGGTTTTGAAGTACAAATAGAACTTGTAAAGAATCAGCATTAAGAGTTCCTATCCTTGAGAAAGGGAAATGGCACTCCTTTTCCATCTCTCTCTCTCCTTCTCTCTGCATCTTCACAGCCCCACTAGACATTCTGCTAAGCAGATGCTGAGCCAACTTATCGTCAGACTGATCCTTTATACCCAGCTGCCTATTTGTCAGTCTCAGGATTGTTAAATAGAAATGAGATGAAAAGACAAGAGCTATTCATCTTCCATCATTTGTCACCTGAATCTGCAACAGCATTTTTGATATCCATCTCTTTAAGCATTTGATTTGCTTGTGTATTGGCATCTAATATTAATGCATAAGCAGGATAGGACCTAGTTGAAACTAATTGTTAACTTTTGGGAATGCATTTTGGAAGCTATGTGTGAATCCCCCTTTTTTTGTAGAAATACAGAAAGTTTATGTAAATATTTACAGGCTATTTTAGAACAGATTGTGTGTTTTTTTTAAAAAAAAGTTAAAGAATTTTAAAGTTCTGTTTAAAGAACTTGCTTGCAGAGGTGCACTGTCAAATGTTTTAAATGACTAGTTTTAATTGTTTATGGAATTTCATTGTTATTTGCTCAAATATCTTGTCACTGTTAGCTATATAGGTTCAGTCCTACATAGATAACAAATTCTTGAATGTGTTTTACCTTCTTTTTAAACAATCACTCATATTTAAAATAATTTTCATAGCTGTAGCATCAAAAATATGAATATAAGCTTTATTGCTTTTAATGACCACTTTGAGATATGGACAATTGGTTTGAAAATGTAATCAGATGCAGAGCTTTTGACTGAAAATCTAGCTGCAAAGGGAAGCTTTATTCTTAAGTTTACACTGACATTAATTTCATTCTTATTGTTGAGCACAAAATATCTAATGCTACCCTAATTCCTTTCAGCTTCAACCTAAATTAAAACATGTAGTTGGGTGCTTTAGAAACCACTTTATATTGCACTTATTAGTGTCTCTTTTTGCTCCTCACTGCAAACTATTGGAAGTTTCCTACTTATACCAGTCTTGAAATCCATGATTAGGAAGTACTTTACGCAATCTATGTAGCAGGTACAGTAGACTGGAAAGTACAATGTGATGTTGCAAAGAGATTAGGTACAAGTACAGTTATGTAAATTTAAGCAAAACTCATTCTAGAGAAATGAGCTTTGTTGTTGCTAATAGCTGATACTGAATTGATTAGACATATGGGTAATCCTCGAGTTACCAATGTAATAGAACCTGCCAATTACATTCATAAACTGATGATTCGTTAATTGGATCACATTAAATGAACGTGCTTTTCCTGCTTTCCCCAATGCATTTTTCATTGGATGTGCAGGACCTTAAGTACACATGATGTATCTCATGGTGGGGAAGGCCATGGAGGGGGGGCTAGTGCTGGAACAAGCCACCTGCTTCTGATTACTCAAGGCCTCTCATGACCCACTATCTCATGTTCCCTCCCCCATCCTGCCCCTCTGGGTCTCCACAGGCACTGTGCCTACTTAGATAGCTTCCCGGATTCCAATTTTCCTCCCCATCCTGTTTCTGATAGCTCACTTACCTTTCAAAAATCTCCAGTGTTCCAGAATAGGCTGACCCACCTGGCAGAAAAATGGCCGTCTATTACAACTGGTGAAGTTGTAAGAATGCGAGATCTAAGGAAAATAGCTTGGCCAGCCCTGCAAGCCCGATGAAACAAACAAGCTCCACATTGATTGGCTGCCACTGCTGCCTTCACACCCCAATCCCTGAAATTGCTCATTCAAACCAGCCACTTAGCAGTAAGCAGAAGGCACTTACTTTATGCCCTGAGGATGCTGGCCTCAGGGCATAAAAGTGGTGGGGCAGATTGGAGGGATATAGGCAGAGGTATGTTGCAGCGTCTTTGCGGTCAGTTATAAGGTGGAATGACTGCTGTGGTGCTGCAACATATGTAACTTCAAGACTGAGTTGTAAGAGGGGAGGGTGTCATAATTTTGAACTGTTGTTAAGTGAACTGTCATAACTCGAGGAATACCGGTATTTAATAATCAATGCTTTTAAGTTTTATTCTCTGAACTGTTTAGTTGAACATGGAAAAAAGACATTCATCAACAATTTCAGCAAGGTCAGGGAGGATAACAAATATGATAATAAATATGATAAGTTTACCATCAAAATATTAAACAAAAGGAATTTAATGAAATTTATTAAAATTGTGGTTTGATTTGTCCAAAACTATATTTTAACTAATTGGGGATATTTCTAACGGGAATCATACAATGGGCTGTGTTTCAACAGGTAACCACAAGGGAAAATGGCTTTTATTATCTGGATTAGGTTTTCTGTTTGTGGAAACTTTATATATTTACAGAAAGTTCACTATTATTAAATACTGGAATAAAGCTGTTCTTTTTTTCATAAGCATTTTTTCTTTTGCAGTCTATTGAGTATCTTTTCTACCTCTCTTCAGAACTGTTTTTTTTTAAACCTGAACGTAATGTATTGATTTCTAGTTCATCCAAAGATTTCAAATGTTCTAAAATTACATGTTCTCTTACCTTTCATCTACTGAAGTTGTTTAATGTTTTCCACGCTCAAAGTCTTATGTGGCTTTAAAAAAGAGGCAGGAAAAATGTCACTGCCTGCAAAGGGAAAGGAGGGAGAAAGAGCTATGTAAGAGTAGAAAGAAGCAGGAAGCCAGGAAGAAATGAAGGTGTACAAACAGAGCCAGCCATCAAGTGGAGGTGTGCAAGCGGAGGTGTAGAAAACCTATAGTGTCTTGCCTGTAAGACCCTGAATCACAGCAGTATCATAACCATTGATTTATAATAAATAGAAATGGACACAATTATTTAGAAGTGATTTTTATTGCTTAATTCCAGACTCATTGGTCCAGCAACACTGATTCTATTAATTATTTAAAAAATTCGGGTAATGCAACTTTTGTGAAATCGCAACTTCCCAACACCCATGCTAGATTATTCAATTTAAAAAATGGAGCAAAGTTTCATAAAATATACCCTGTACATAGGTTTCATTTTATTCTTTTGGGGGGCATTTTTTCAAATGAATTTCTTTTCATTGAAATAAGGATTTCAAATACTATAGGGCATTACCAATCATCTCTTCTTTCTGGCTGGTGAAGCTCATGGTTCATTCACAATTCACCTTTGCCAGATAATCCAATGAAATTCTTGCATTTTATTCTGTAAGTTCAACAGTTAACAAATAAAACAAGCGACAGAGCATTTGCTGGGCTGCTATCTGTTCCTAACGTAGTAGCTTGCAGTTCCAACGTATAATAAAGAGGGTCCCTTTGTGCTTGCTTGATCAATTAGCTTAGCATTCATTCATAAACCTCAATGTTATTGCAACAAAATGTTAATTCTCACTAATAATGAATTTGGGTTACTTTAATATTGCTTAAATAAAACATTTATTGAGTTCTGTTCGACCTAAGAATGGAAACATACCAAAGAACCAGAACTTCTCCTTTCTTCTTAGATAGCATTTTGCATTTTAGATTTCATTACTACTGATTCACAACAATCATGTAAAGAAATGAATGACAGATAAAATTACAGCTTTACTATTAAAGAAAGTATAAGAGGCTGGTTTGAATTATGTGAAAGATAAATTTCTCAGCATTCTGATAGCAAATCAAATGCCCTTTCCAAAAAGTCTAGTGAGGTCCCTTGGCAAAGAGAGTTGGAAATATTGATACTACAGACTGTTTTTACAATGTAGAAACATTTTTTTCTGAAAAAAACCCACCCCAGTTAACTATTGTATATATCACAAACATGGCATTACTATCACAAACTGTATGCATACCAAAACCTTTTGATAAATGAGTCCAAATAGATTTATTTGTACCCACAGATTGGTGTGGGTTTATGCATGTAGAGTTCTGCTTTTCTAGGTATTGGAGAGTTAATTTTCTGTGCTATGGGCAGCTGTTAAACTGCATACAAATAAATGGCAGCAGTTTTTCATTTTTGTGCCATGAAAAGTAGATTAGAGTGATGAACCCAGGATCAGGTGCAGACTTTTTCAACTGGAAATAGAAAAGTTCTTTATATATGTTTAGAAATGCTTCATTGTGTAATATTGTTTTCTGTTTCTTGAAAGAACGAATATAAGCAAGTAGATAATCCTATATTGCATAGATAAATAAAAAAGATAGTATCATAAAACCAACTTTCTTCCTGTCATGGGCTTTTAATAAGTTATCAGGATTTGATGAAACACACAGGAAAATCAAATTGCTCTCATAATTCAAAATATGTATTTCTTCAATGTATATGTCTTTCCATCTGTCCAATGGACACTCTGGGCAGTTAGCAACGTTTAAAAGCAATCAACAGCAAAACAAAATTTAGCCAAGATAAAACCAATCAATTCAAAATTAAAACTATTCTGTCATGGGAAACCCAACCCTCAGGCCTGAATGCAAACATGGTCCAGGGTCTTGTAAAAAGATAGCAGATCCTTTCTTTACAATTATTCAACTCCAGTTTGAAAAGAGATATAAATACCACAATAAAGATGGTTGAAAACATATGAATGGAAAACATATGAATTTGCCTTATAGTATTTTGGAGATGTTTTGTAACTCAGTGGTTTAGCAACTTTCTTTGGGACAGTCCATATTTTAAATAAAAATATATTAATTTGTGAAATAAACATACATGCAAATAAAAGCAATATGGCATTAGCACTAACAATGCAAATGTTTTTAATAAATACTATATCCAATATCTGTCATGACAGAAATATAAATAGTGAGACAAATCGTCTATCTGCAAATATGAGTTTGTATGCATTATTTTCTTTTTCTGAAAAATGACTTAATGGTCTGGACATGGTATGTTAAAACCTCTTTAGATACATATCTATTAATCTAATACAACAGGATTAAGGCTATTACAAAGCCATAAATGTGCAAATGTCGGGACTATAACTGCATTGTTTGATATTTTTGTCAAAGAAAGAACAACTTTCTTATATCGTTGGCAATGGAAATGTCATTATCTTGCTGATTTTGGAAAGACAACGAGTTGGTAGATTTCTTTTAAAATTTGGCACTTTACCTTCCCCTTTACTATTCAAACCATAAGATGATAACACATTTTCTTCCACTTGATTAGGGAAGGAGGAAAATACTTAAAAAACAAGAGAACTTTAAAACAAGGTTAGCATCTTCAGCAGAGTTAGCTCCAGGTTAAGTGGACACATAACCAAGATGCTCTTAGAAGTGTTTCTGCAATGGTCCAATTTTGCTTTATTGTATTGCTGTTTCTGATGTCCATTCACTTCTTTTACCTCAGTGAATGCAGCATACAGGAAAGTAGGAAAGATGGATACATTTTTCTTTTTCTGTGACTTCTGTGTTAAATAGAGTATAAGAAGAACAGTTGATGGCTCTGAGATTTGGCAGTCCATTCCCTACTCACTATCCTACTTTCTCAGGTTTGAGCTTTTTGTATCCTAGTTCTCTTTTTAAGGGATAACACTATTACTACATTGTAACGGAATAACAGAACAATCATTTATAGGCCAAAGAGAATTAATTTTCATGAATCAACTGAAAAAGAATGCTGACAAAAAATTTCTAAGAATACAGTTTTTTCAAACTATATGAATTTGCAGTGGGCCAAGAAGGTATTAATAACACACTGTCCCCTGGCATACTTAACAATTCTTTTCCAGAGAGTGATCACGATGCTGGAAATCATATCCTTAATATTCAATACAAATAATCAAAATAAGAGGGGTAAACATTAAGTCCCTATTTTTAAGCCATTGGAAACAGTTTTTATTCTCCCAAATAATAAATTAATTTTTACAGTGATGCCAATGATTGGTGACAGCTAACAAACTCAGCAGTTTATACTGGTACGTTCCCCTTACTCTGGACCCAATACCCCTACCCCACTACTCACAAAAAGGTTTCAGTATTGAATTTGTGGGTTTGAATATTATAGAATTTATTAATACCACAAAGATAAAAATGCTTTCATAATACAAGTCATTGCCAGGAATATGTTAAAATATTTTGACAACACTGATTTCTAGAAAGCAGTGTAATAACTTCTGATACAAAAAAAGAGTTTTATATATATCTTAGTTAATACTATGACTATCAGTAAGGTACAAATCAAGTCATCGCTAGGACCACTTTTTTTTTTCTTTTAATGATCCTGTAATCCCTTGCATCAGGGTAGAGTTGGGGTGACTGATGGAGCTGAGGGTTTATTGGCCAGATGCCCTTCCTGACACCTATCCCCTGCACAAAACAGATATTTTCTCTTTGTGGCCAGAGAGAGAAATATCTGACACTACCTAGGATCAAACTCACAGCCTCCTGTTTGTGAGACAAGAGGTCCACCTCTACACAACTGAACCACTCATTGCCAGGATCATTTTATTATCACTATTTGAATGATGAAGGGTAGATTTGGGAGTCTGGGGGACTTTACTATGGTTTGCCTGTGGCCTATAGTAAAGCTTAATAATAATTATATGCATGCAAATATAGATTGGTATTAATTAATATATTTATAGTATCTTGAAATAAATATGTAATATAAATTATTGAGATTTCAGAATAGTCTGAAATGTTCATGCCTTGCATCATGCATCATTCCTAGACCAACAGGAATGTTATGCAACTATAATGCATACAACAAGATTTCAGAGCAAGCTACAAAAGCTGCAGAATCGAGACAATGTTGCCAGAGTTCATGTTCACTCTGCAGTGGGAATACCTGCCATTATATCTATTTCACAATATATTTATTATCCAACTCTTCACTGATGCACAGTTTTGCCAGGCTGCTTCATTACTTGGAACAGCAGTAAATATCTTTGTCTCGGTGATCCCCGTGACCTAAAAATATTGATTTCCCTTTTTTTTCAAAGTCAGGCACGATCCTTTTATTTTAAGGAAATGGATGAAGACTAAGACATCTGGTAAAAATTTCCAATCATTTTTTTTTCTTTTGGGAATGAATTGATGAGAGATTTTGGGGAGGAGCATATATGTAATTTAAACAATCACCCACCAAGAAGGCCTTGCTCTCTGATTATAGTCATTTGTTTTAGTTGGATTTCAATTGGATGTGCTTATGCGTGCTGAGCGCTGGACGGTACTCAATATCTGCACATCTGCAGCTAGTTTTGTTATTGTTTTGCACTAGCAGGGAAAAATTGAGTCAATCCTCTGTTGCTTTTCAAATCAAGCTTTGTGAATGATTTTTGTATGATTCTTTTACAAAAACAGGCAGCTCTTCCTGGATTCTTACAAGAAGATTATAGTCTCCAGCTGATAGATCCTGCAACAAGCTTCTTCTCCTGGATCTGACGGGATGGGTAGATGTCACTAGAGATAGGTGGTCCCTTAAATAACCTGGCTTTATGCA